GACGACGACTATGTCGGGGTCAGCCGAAATCAAGACGATCCCATGGTCATAGCTGTGGCATTGGCCAATTGGGAAGTTTGCAAGACCTTGGTCGACCAAGGAAGCTCGGCCGACATCCTATACTGGCCAACATTCCTCAGGTTAGACATCCCCCACTCTCTCATACAACCTCATGCCGAACCTCTAGTCGGTTTTGCAGGGAAAAACATTCAAACTCGGGGATATGTAGACCTACTGACGACCTTCGGAGCACCCCCGGTTTCCAGACAGGTCCTGATACGATACCTACTCGTGGAAGTCGACACCTCCTATAACGTCATCATCGGTAGACCAACCCTAAATCAGCTCGGGGCGGTGGTGTCCACCCCGCACCTCACCATGAAATTTCCAAGGCACAATGGGAAGATCATCTCTATCAGAGCAAATCAACAGGTAGCGCGACAATGCTACACAGAAAGCCTAGAAACCGTCTCACCGAGCGAACATCGCAAGAACGACCTTACCGCTCTGGCTCACACCGACCACGAAGAAATCACCGATCTCGACCCGAGATCCGACACTCATGACGAACGACCCAGCCCCGTCAATGAGCTTGACGACCTTCAAATCGGCAAACTCCCCGGACAAACCACAAAGATCAACCAACAGTTTATCGCAGAAGAATTCGAGAACTTCCTCCAAGAACTCGGAATCAAGCATCTCCCAACCTTAGTGGAGCCCCCCCAAACCAACGGCCAGGTCGAAGCAGCCAACAAGGTCATCCTCCGAGAGCTTAAAAAACGGCCCAGGAACGCAAAAGGGCAGTGGCCCGACATGCTCCTCAGCATCCTCTAGGCATATCACTGCACCCCCCAGTCGACCACGCAAGAAACACCCTACAGGCTAACTTACGGAGCCGACACAATGATCCCAGTTGAAGTCGGAGAAGCGTCCCACCGACGCAAAGTCTTCAATAGCGAACAGAACGCCAAAGAGCTGGCAGCCGACCTCGACTTGGTGGACGAACTTAGAGACGAAGCCCAAATCCATGAAGAGGCCTGCAAGCTCCGAGCTTCCCGGCGATATAATTCTCGGGTGAAACCCTGCTCCTTCCGAGCAGGTGACCTGGTATGGTGACTATTAGGAGAAGCACGGAAAGACATGTCAGATGGGAAACTCGCACCTACTTGGGGCGGCCCTTTTCGAGTCACAGAAGACTTGGAAAATGGAGCATATAGATTGGAAGAACTCAACGGAAAACCCATACCGAGAACTTGGAATGCTACGCATCTCAAGTTCTATTTCAGTTGAACTTTGTACCAATAAGCCGTGCACTCTTTTCCCGCCTCAGTCTTTGGCTGAGAGAGTTTTTAACGAGGCACACATTTTTATCAATAAAATGACTCGTCCCCTTTTATTCACACTCTTACTTTCACCATTTTTTCCACAATTACTAGAGGTCGAGTACGAACCTCGCCACGATTATTAGAGGTCGAGAACGAACCTTGTCGTGACTATTAGAGGTCGAGAACGAACCTCGCCGTGAGTACTAGAGGTCGAGTATGAACCTCGCCACGATTATTAGAGGTCAAGAACGAACCTTGTCGTGACTATTAGAGGTCGAGAACGAACCTCGCCGTGAGTACTAGAGGTCGAGTACGAACCTCACCACGATTATTAGAGGTCGAGAACGAACCTTGTCGTGACTATTAGAAGTCGAGAACGAACCTCGCCACGATTATTAGAGGTCGAGAACGAACCTTGTCGTGACTATTAGAGGTCGAGAACGAACCTCGCCGTGATTATTAGAGGACGAATACGAGCCTCGTCGCGATTACTAGAGGTCGAAAATGAACCTCATCATACTCGTACTCAACTAGAGTTCGAAAACGAACCTCATCATACCTATACTCAATTAGAGGTCGAAAACGAACCTCGTTACATTCATTAGAGGTCGAAAACGAACCTCGTCACGCTTATTAGAGGTCGAATTCGAACCCCGGCATTGCAAAAGATAAGCTCGAACCCTCGCAACACGCCATTAAACAAAAATTACTAGTAGTTATAATAACTTTTTATAATAACTTTTTAAGCTCGAACCCATCTTGGAGCACCAATACACCGGGCAAAGGAGACTCACCGATCTTACTGTACAAACTTTTTATAATAACTTT